GACTCGAAAAGAGTCTTATGTTGATCCTTGCCCCTACTTAGCCGGCACACGACAGATCTTGATAAAAGTCATATGTTGATCATTGCCCCTACTTAGCCGGCACTTGACAGATCTTGATAAAAGTCTTATGTTGATCCTTGCCCCTACTTAGCCGGCACGTGACAAATATTTATATATAGTGAAGTAGTAACAACATGAAAAAATATATTTCGAATTAAAATCACTACAAGTGTATGATTCGTTAATAAGTAATCAAATGGGTTTTGAATCCAAGTATCGTCCAATAGAGATTGATTAGTTCAATTTTAATTATCGCGACCTTAACTGAAATATAAATAATATGGTATGATTGTTCGTGACAAAATTATGATTAAAAAATCCACTTATGCAATTATGAGTAAATTAATTAAACTAAATGCAAATTATGTTAAATACAAATTGACGTGTTTAATAAATGACAAACGCATTATGACCTTGAATTCCCATGCAATAATTATTTTAACCTTAGTTCTACATTTTGACAACACAATTGAATTTTGACGAATCAATGTTCCTATTTTATTTAACAATCTCTCTTGAATAATGTTAAACCCACTCTCATATATGACTCGACTATATTTCTATAGCGAATGTAAACATACAAAAGTGCACGATTTTTTATGAACACTTAACGATTCACATAGAACATAACGATATTTCTATTTCCTATTGAACTCTATGATGATTTACATTATGTTGAACCTATTTTCTTTCTTTCGAATGCATAAAACAAGTTACCAAATTTATACAATTACTGTGTACAATAATCGAAGAGAAAAGATAATTATGTAAATCATTCAAAATCCAAAAATGTGTTTTCAATATCAAATATTTAAAATTAAATATTAAAAACTCATATTACATGGCTCATCGTTCTCCTAACACAAAGTAAACTAGCCTAACGTGTTATGAGAAATAAAACAAAAGAAATATTGAAGAATCGACATCATCCAGATAAAACTCGAATTGAATATTCGAGTCTTGGAATCAATATTTGTGTTTCTTACCTCCTTCTACGCTCCCAAAATCTCTTAGAACGTGTTGTAACGAGTGATCATCACTTTTGGACAGCCCTAAGTCTTTAAAAGACGTCCAAAATTTATTTTCATAAGAGTTGAAATCATATAAGGGAACTGAAATTTTTCCTCCGAAAATACGCTATGTTATTGCATAGTACATTTTAATGTTATAGCATAGTTCAACCAGTTTTAACTACGGAAGGCCCTGTATCACACCATGCGACGACATGGCTAAAAGCACTATGCTATAGCATAGTTCAAGCAGACTTTCATTCTTTGCTTTTTGGTCTCCGAATTTCGTTTTCTATTTTCGTGATCTCTTTCCTCGCTTCTTCTTCTTCTTCTTCTTCTTCTAACATTTCATTCATTCGCTCAATTGGTTTTTGACTGTTTCACATATTCTTTCCTTCTTCCGAGTAATCTTTCGACTATTTGTATTTTGGTCTTTGAACTTTGATTTTTTTCCATTTCAGTCATTTTCCTCTTGTTTCTCCAAAATTCCGTCATGTTCATCAATATTATTCTACAAAATATAATTTATATAGACTTAAGCTATATTTTGATATATTTACCAATAATTGTCTATATTTTTTGCCCTAAATAAGTGTATAAAACGCATTTATCGCATATGTTGCTTGTAACGTCGCATATACATGTTGATAATTTCAATCCAATATTAAAAAAAATGCTGAATCAATTGATTAGAGTCATGCTGATAGTTTGGCAGACAAGTGAATAATATTTTATAAGTTTATTGAAATGTGCTTTGAAAATGAAGTTTAACTTTTTATAAATTGATTAGAAAATTTTCTGAACATATACTTTAAAAAATTGGGGGACAGTGGTGGAATGGTGAAGAGATATTTTAAAGAAAAAAAAATACTTATTTTGTACTGTTACATAAATTTATATTTATGTAACACCTCCCCAAGACATTACATTTTTTGACAGTTGTATTTTAATGTGTGCATGGCAAATGACTGAGCACAAAATACATTTGGGTGGGGTTTGGTGGGGTTCATGTCATTAGTGTGCCTAAACAGGAAAGTGAAAACAAATTAAGAAGGTCAATAGAGATTATAATTAGCCTTCTGTGGTGCTTACCCCATTGCTTAATCTCTAATTATCACTTATCTTGACTGGAATAAATTATTGGTACTCAATTTACCACTGCCATTTAAACACCCACTTCTCCAAATTAATTACAAATACTTTAATTCTTGAAACCTATTTTTTCCTTTTTTAATCGCAATTAATTAACAATAATTTAATATGTACAAATATTCACTTTAATAAAAAAAGACAAATAGTCTTAGTTGTGCATTTACTAATTGATCAAGAAATACACAATTAGTGGTTTTGGTCTCTTCCAACTATTATGTTACGATTGACTTCAAATTTAGTAATGCTTGTAGATATTCAATAATTTTAACATATCCAAAGAGTTGGGAGCTAATGAAAATACAACTAAAAAATATCTACATGTCTTGTATCATGTCCATATGTCGCGTTTTTTTTTTCTGGCACAGATGTCATCCTGAAGTAAAGAATATTTTTTTGTCAACCCAAAAATTTGTGTTGATTTCTAACGTTACATTTTTCGCACAAATGTCATTCTGAAGTAAAGAATATTTTTTTGTCAACCCAAAAATTTGTGTCGATTTCTAAAGTTACATTGATCATTCATAGTAGAATTAATACCCGTTATCCTAGTCACTTTGGTTCAAATCATGGCATATATTTCTAGTTGACACTCTGTATCTCGTACAATCACTAAGATAAAGCAAGATATAAATATGTACAATAAAAAATGCATATAATGATAATTTTAGTTAGAATGTACATCTTTAAGTGTCATATATTGGAACCATAATTACTATCATAGTACATTTAGTCGACTATCATGGTATGATGATATTTAGCAAATGCTTGTTTAGCTAAAAAATTGATAAAAATCTAAGTCAAAGTTAATAATTAATTTTAAGCACGTATTTTGTGAGATCCACAATTTTTATCAACTTTCCAACCATACATTTCATCAATTTTTATCAAAACTTACTAAAAATCTTTTCAGCAAAACCAAACAGGAGCTTATAAAAAGACAGTTCACTATGCAGAATTTTAGATCTTATGAAATATAACTAAAAATTTTGTGATGCAATTTTAAAATATGGAAACTATAAAAATTTGGTATACATTAAGAAAAGGATTTTCCCCCAGTGTACAGAAGGCAGCCACCAGAATATTGCCAGAACAGAGAGAAATGCGTGGGACCCACCATGTGATTGAAAAAATAACAAATGCGCGGGACCCACCAAATATGTGTATTCTGGTGAATTTCTGGTGCAATTCTTTCTGTACATCCAGCATAGTTGTTAAGAAAATGAAAGACAACATCCTAAAAATGTATTCCTTTTTTTTAATCCCCTAGTGGCCACAACTTTATACTTGGTGTCACCATGAACACCCAATTTGATTTTGTTTCACCATAACCACCCACATTTATACTTGGTGTCACCATAATCACATAATTTGATTTTATTTCATCATGACCATCAAATTTCATATAACGTTTTACCATGACCACTCGATTTCATATAACATTTCACCATAGTCACCCAAGTTCTTTTCACCAATTTCATTAATTTTTAAATGGGTAAAATGGTAATTTTACATTATATATAAAAATTTAAGTTTAAACACACACACACACGTGTGTGTTTAAAATAAATAAAAACTTATTCTAAAATAAACGTTTTTAAAATTAATAAAAAAAACATTTATTTTTGTTTTTTTTTTAAATTTATTTTATAGGTATAATACAAAATTACCGTTTTACCATGGGGAAATAGTATATGAAATTAGTTGGTTATAGTGAAACATTATATGAAATTGGATGATCATGATGAAATAAAATCAAATTGGATGACTACAATAACATTAAGTATAAAGTTGGGTGACATTGGTGAATTTAACCCATTTGGATATATATTCCTCCACACTAAGATTCCAAGTGACATGAGAGTGACACGTCAACTAAAAGTGGGGTTTGGGGCGCCGTAACACACTTTGGCTCCTAATATTTGCTTCATTTTAAACACAAAATCAATGTAACAGTGGATCAAAACCCTAGAATCAACGACTGAATGATTTCTATTGAAAAAACTTCCCAACCTCATAGCTTTTTTTTTCACCAAACTATTCATACTATTACTGATTTATTTTGATTCGAAATCTCATAGATACCCTATGTCAACACTCAATTCTAAGCAGAAGATGAATTCTCATCTGCCCTTTATCTTTATGTGCTTGTGCTTAATTTAAACAAAGTTTCCATATGTATGATCATTTGCTCAAGATGCAGAGATAATGAAACGCTGTAAGTTTTGGCTTCGGCTTCTCTTTTATGGGGTAAAAGAAAATTTGTTGGGTTGTTAATTTCCTTTGAGTTCAAGAAAGCCTGCTACAAGGTTGCTTACAACAAGGATTAATTAGATTGTAATTAAGAAATGAAGGAACATAATCAGATTTCTCGTTTTGATCCACCACCAAGATACCGGTATGGTTTGCTAGAGCCCTAGAGACCTATAGCAGCTAGCGTGGTTACATAACCAGAAAAATAGCTTTCTTTCTGGCGGAATTATGAGGGGAAAAAGGGCTTATTTCTTTCGTTTGAAGTGACTTCAACTGTTTTGTACTTTTCATTATTCAAATGGGTTCTTGTTGTTGAGACATGTTATATCAACAATAAATAAGAAAAAATGGAAAAAGTTTTCAAGGCAAAGAGAAAGCTGCAGGAAATATTTTACAAAGCAACAAAAGTACATGCAAGAGACATCATACTAGCATTACATTTCTTTCATTTCATTTGGAGAGCTTTTCATGCGAGATATTTTATTTTTATATATGATTACTACCGAATACATAGATAGTGATGGATGCTTAGGGGTAATTCCACAGGTTCTCATTTTCTACATTTTCATCAGCACCAGTGTCACCTGAAAGGTCAAGGCGAGGAGGGCTAAGAAGCATTCCTTCAGCCATGTTCGTCAGAACATTAGGCATATCAAAGATCAAATCCTCATCAATAAACTCTGGGGTTTCAGTCGGCTCCGGATTTTCACTCCTGTCAACAACATTATTTCCACCAGCAAGAGCATCCACCGCCGCCCCAGCTGCGGAGGCCGCACTGGCGGCGGCAGCCTGAATGTCACGCGGCGAGTTAGAAGCCGGGACAGGTAAAGAAGAAGCTGAATTTGGGAAATTAAGCTCAGCTTCAGAACCCTTAAGAGCAAGTGCTGCCACATCATAGGCTACTGCAGCCATTTCAGGAGTAGGAAATGTGCCAAGCCATATTCTGTTTGGCGTTCTTGGCTCTCGAATTTCGGACACCCATTTCCCACTACTTTTCCGACGCCTAACTCCCTTGTAAACAGGGTGCCGGCCGGAATTTGGTGACGACGGATTGTTAGCAGTGCTGCTGCTTGATTGTGACATTCTATTAAGTAAATTCAGTTGTATATAATTATATATGAGTAATGCATGTATTTTAAACTGATTCAAGTTAAAGGTTTGAGCAGCCATTTATGGAGGTTGAGTTTCTAGGGTTGCAGCGTATGGGGATGAATATGAGAAGTTAAAGTGCAAACCAGTTGTTGCTGAAATGGTGAGGTGTGACCGTGTGAGGATGTGAGTGTAAGCCAGATACGTATTGGAGTTCTGGGTTGGATACCCTTTTTTGGTGAAATCCGCGCAGCAAAACTCCCCATGCTGTCTGCGGATTTATGATGAGATTTGATTTAATAATCTTTTGATTTGATTTATTGTGAAATTTATAACTTGTTTTGTTTTGGATGAAAGAGGAACTTTTTACATCATCCATTGCATTTGAAACAACCAATGGAGTGCTAGAAAATAAATACGTCGACGAGTGTTACTCCCATTTGACTTCGACGTGTAAAAATTTGACATCTAAGCGCATCACTTCTTGTTAGTAAATTAGAATACGTCATTTTAAATGTGATTTCATTTGTGGTGTACCGCATTGGTGTCATATCAAACATATAATGGGAGAGACAAGTAAATAATTCAACTTACATGCGATATTTATTGAAGATATAATTTGATTAAATAAATAAATAAATACACTCGAACTTTTTAGACGATGTAGTTCAACCTATTAATCATCTAATGTGTTGATACCATTTCCCTACCATCGGTCACCGTTGGATCGCCCAACTATCCGAGATGTGAAGTAACAAAAGTGAATAATTTTCACCGGACAAGCAAACTCGCCAAAGAAACATATCGTCTCGAGTTAAGTCTTAATACAGGTATCCAAGGCCACTTGGCCATTAACCTCTTCCCACAAAGTCCTCTGATCAAGTTAGATCTATTAATTACTTCGAAAGTTTGAGAGACATTTCCATATTCCATAAAATAAATAGAAATGAAAAATGGTACCATTCTCTATCAAAAGAACTTCCCTCACGCGAGCAATTTCTAAGCTCACGATCACCTCAAACACACATAATACAACAAAAATACTTGCATACACTACTAAAATTTGCTCACTACATACATATAGTTACCACACGACATTGCTAACTTGATCGATCGTGGAAATGCGTATGTTCGGCTCCACGTCGATATCGAGCTTATGCTCGTAAGTAGTTAGAAACCTAGAAGAGAAAGTTCTTGCGCGTGTTACAAAAAAAGAAGGGTTTTGGTTGACGAGGGAATTTTGAATCAAGACTCAAGATTTTGGGATTTCTCCTCGAGCTTTACAAGTGATTTCTTTATTAAATTAGAGTTACTTATAATTAGCATCGTGTTTGATGCTAATATAATTCTCCAAGAATGTATTTTAAATGGTGATTTGATAGAAATATGTGGTTAAAAAATAAGGAAAGAATTTTAGATTTGCGTGTAATATTATTTTATCGAAAAGTGTGTGGCTGAAAATAAGAGAGAAAAATATATTTTCAAAAGAATGAGTATCAAACAGGGTGTAAATTAATGTTACTCGTAGTCAATGCCATCAATTTCTAGCATATTTAGTAGGGTTTATTTGTGATTTGAGTTCCTTGTACAACTAATTCAACGCTTGTCGGCTCAAAAGTTAAAACGAATTACACTTGAGCATTTTTTCAACTTGTAATAAAATATGATTTATTGATGAACATGCTCGTACTCTCTTATGGTTCTGTCTATTCTACTCAATTTCAAGATTGAACTGTAAATTATTTAAATTTGAAATTTTTTTTCACGACTCAAACTAAAAAAATAAATAAATTATGAAATGACCCCTGCATTTTTTGAATAAAATCATACTATATTCCAAGAATCAATTGGAAAACTAAAGATAAAATAAAATCTCTAGATAAATCCCAGATGCATCATCCCCTTATTTTCCATCGTTATCTTGCAAAATATACATAAAACAAAGAAGTTATTTACATAAAGAGTTAAATAAATAAAAGAAATAAAACCTCGCCATCGTCATCGCCCTCGTCCTCATCCTCGCCCTCTTGGGCACACTTAATCTCTGATTCGATTTTTGCGTTTAGAGGGACGGGAAGTTTAGGGGCTGTTTTCTTTGTAATTGAGTTTTGAATTTATTTTGAATTTTGTGTTTTGAGTGCCTATTTTGAGATTGTTGAAAATGTATATTTTTTTGGCATTTTCAAAAATTGTTTTGAAAACACCAAAAATGTGTGTTGAAAATTTTGATTTGATTATAATTGAAAATACTCAATTGTCGTTTTGAGTTTTTTTTGTAAATTTTTAACTTGTTTTCAAAAAAACGTTTTCGAAAATGGGAAAGAGAACGCATTTTCACTGTTTTAAAAAATCGAAAACAGAAAACGACTTGAAAATGGTAAAGAGAACATGCCCTTAGCTATTATGAAGGCCGTTCTCATATTTTATTTTATTTTACTATACCATATTATAAATATTATACCATGTTATAAATACAATGAAGATCATTAACTTTTGAAGATATAATAAGTACACAATTTCGACAAAATAGTTTCCCTACGTTAACATAATCTTTGGACAAAAATCGTTATTTGAGATACGATAACTTCATCAATTGAAAGTCAAAAATAAAAATGTGACAAAAAATTGAAGATATAGGCGTAAAAATTAACAAAATTGAAGACATTCATTACAATTAAAATATAGTTCTGATTATCAAAAACTACGATGTCAATATAATTGTCTAATTATTAATTACGTAAAAA